AGAGGGATAAGCCCATGGAATCAGAGTTCTTTTTGTTTGTTGAAAAAATTCAGCATAAGACCAATGTTTCTAGGTGTATTCCCACTAATTCTTTTGCTTCAAGCAAAAGGGAACATGTAGTTCATAAGACAGTGTTTTTTTAGACTCAAGAACTATTTTTTGAGGTTGATTTTACACCAGCAAGTACATGCATGATATATTAGAATGATGGCAGTAAATCCAAACATTAAGTTTTTTAACCAGTGAAACAAAACAGTAAGAGACAAACAATCAAGTTGTACATTGAACCACAACATCTTTTTAAAGTGCTACTTGCATGAAAATGGCCTCATTTCAAAACTTCAAGCAATACTAATATATGACTCATTTATATCTATTAAAAACAATTGCGGGAAAATATATTTGTCTTGGAATTATCCCACATCAGAGAAATTTTGATTCAAAAGATGGAAGAACAAAAGGATTGAGTAGATGACGTCATCTACTCCAACATTTTTTGCCCAAATTATTAAAAGGATTTGCATGAATATTTTCTTGAAATCTGTTGCTTCATGATTATTACATCCATATGGATACATGTAGGTCTATTTGATTCCCAAGCCTTTTCTAATGTTTCGCAATTTTCGTCCAAGTAGCCCTTTAAGGAAACACTGAATAGAAATTTTCTTTTGCGGGCAAATATTGAATGACTAATATTTTAATCCATMCAGGTGATGGAGTATTTGGTTGGAGGTGATGTCAAGTCTCTTTTACATAATCTAGGATATTTTGATGAAGACATGGCAAGAATGTACACTGCACAAGTATGTACAGCATACCCTAAGACATTTTAAAGCATTTGGTGTTTTGTGTGTCAGTTGTAATAATTCACTAATTAAATATAATTTAAAGTTTCCCAACACTACAATACTTGATTGTGCAACATACTTGCAAACGACTTATGTAGCACAATAGAAGCAGTATATAGAGAAACATAGAATTYATTCGATGTTATTTTTATATCTAAACAGGTAATAGTAGCTTTGTCATATTTACACAGCCATGGAATAATACACAGGTATAGATTGAAGCTTTTTTATTTTTTTATCTYGCAACAAAGACAAACACACAAAACAGTTTACATTAACATCGCATTTTACTACTTATTTACCACTACTTCAGTATAGAGCTCAGAGAAGCTGATGGTTTGCTCATCTATAAGACACAGTCACCATCTATGCAAGAAAGCATAACTGCTGTTGTGTATTTCATATGATTTTAAAACCACTCTGACTTTATAAAAAAAGTTGACAACTTCTAATAAAATACTATCCAATAATGGTCCGGCCATATCAGATGTGCAACCCCCAGAAGAAGTTATACAACTATATTCATTTTAAAATTACTTTTATTTATTATCAAACACTTAACGGCCAAACATTGTTTATGTCAAACACAAATGCAATAATATTGTCACACAGGGAYTTAAAACCTGACAACATGTTGATATCAAATGAAGGCAAAATCAAGCTGACTGACTTTGGACTCTCCAGTTTAAGCAGAGATAGTAAGTATACATCAAGGTGCATTACTTCTACAAAGGCRGCTAGCAATGTGGTTTGAAGTGACTTTGTCATCGTTTTGTTATTGTCTTTTATGTCAAGTGAACAACATTAATGTGATTGGATGTATCAGTGTATGTTGGGAARCAGGAAAACATAGTCTGTTCAATGTTCATATATTTTCAATACGAATTTTTCTCTTTGTGTTGCAGAGCCAAGTTTTCTTGATGTGATGAGTACTCCATGTGTAGACACTGCCCAATCCAGAGCCAGAACGTACTTCAGAACACCAGGACAGATTCTCTCCYTAACTACTGACTTCACCTTTGTAAGTATCAATGACACTTTTGTAAGGGAGTGWGTTACTCTATTAATTCTGGTTTCACTACAGACCAAACCTCAACTGTAAGCACAATGTCACTGGGGTTCTTTCATATAACGACATTGCAGAAACATAAGCTGATTCATACTTGACATAAGCATGAGCTTATGGTTATGTTCTGCCAGTTTAAACTGATAATTTTTTAACATAAGCTTATGCAAATCCGGAGAAAATGAAAAAGTTTTCAATCTCATATGTTTCCCTTACGTTTTTTTAAAAAGCCTCACAAGCCTCATAGTCGTTGTCTGCCAAACTCAAGCGCAAGAAGAGGGGAAAAAATGCTTGTTAGTGTGCTAAAGTTTTGGMTTTCGTGTGGTCGGTTTTCATGTGGTTTATGTGGATTGTGCGCTTGCGCTTAGCATTGAGGTTGGGTTTGCGTCGTAAAGTAATTGATAATAGCCCTTTTGGATGAAACGGTCACATGATACTAAATCCACCATGCTGGATGGCAACATCCTTTATTCAAAAAAAGAAAAGTCTGAGGGGCTGCGTTCCTTTTGTTTTTGAGGTTATTTACAGATACATTCTTTTGCCATACATTATTGCGGATATCATGTGACCGTTTCATGAAAAAGGGCTATTATTAATAAATGTTATAATTCTTTTTCTTCTTAGTCTCTCCCGAGGTCTGCGAAACCAGGGCAGCGTCTACGTGTTAATAGCGTAAGCTCATCGATGGTGTCGCAGCGCACTGAACACATGGATAGCTATATATTTAGCCCACCAGAACCCAAACAAACACGTGCTAAGAGTTTTTGCCAATCATTGATTATGGCTTCACCCAGACCTACCGAGGAATTCAAACCTACTCAAGAAATGACGCCTCTTACTGGTACTGCTGTATTTGTTATTATTATTTTGCAAAATGATATTGCTATACATTKCTTATTGCCAGTCGTTTTCAGCAGTAAAATAAAGCTTTTGAGGATYTTGAGGCCATGCTTGAAAATCCATAAATATATATCAACAATGAGAGGCGCGGTGTGGTTCCACGGGTTCCGAACGCTCCTTCTTTGTCAGACAATGTTAGTCTTTGATGTATGAGACTTTAATTGCCAAATCAATAGGGTAAAATATTTCCGGATCGTCCAACAGTTTGTTCATTGTGAATCCAAAACGATACTCGTGATAATTTTGAASTCAAGCGTCTTTTTCACCGTCTTTTAACCACAAAACGATGGAATTCCTCTCCCCCCTTCGTGAAACTCCTGAACACGCCCCTTTCAAAAGACTACAGTATATCAATAACCACCTCAATGTTAAGAAATGACAGTCTATATAACACTGTTTTGCTATTTTTAGGTGSACCTGTAATAAAACGAACTCAGTTCAATTCGAAAGTCAGCCAACGAATGTTTCACCCTGCATCAAGCGATTCAGACGAGGATTCTCCTGRTAATAACAAAAACACTCATCATYTATCACCGGACGATGAACACAATCTCCCGGACTGTAAAAAACGCCGCGTATCTAGTACTGGACTAACACGCGTCTTAGAGGGGATGGATTTTCGACAGAGAAGTGGCTCATTCATGGATAGTTTTGATTCCCATACTTCTAATGTACCAATCACAACGAATATAGACAGTTTGAATACTGGAACTTGTCAGGACACTGATGTTGAATTACATCACGAGCTTTCTGGTTCAGTATTTAGCGCAGAAAAATCACGTTTATCTATGTCTCCACTGAGCTCTACTAGATTACCAGTCACTCCCGCTAGCCAAAATTGTCGTTCATCWGGTTATGGGAGCTCTGAAATGGCATCATGTGACAGAGAAAACCAGAATTTGTTTCAAAATCAAATGGAAWCCAATCKTAGAGATAGCTTTCTTGGCAAAGAGAACTATCCTTTGAACTTTTTGGAATCTAAGAAATGTTTAAAAGATGCACAAGATGTCGAAACATGCGAGACAGTTGAACATGGTTCGCCTTTACCTATGGAGTTTGCAAGTATCAAAAATACTCCAAAACCTATGGATACGTCATATAATGTGAGTTATCAATACTTTTACACCTAGTCGAAAAAGCGTTGTCGAGTTCGAAAMGGTAACATCAAATCTATGTCCGAAGGGGATTTCGGGCATTGCAAAATGGTGCTTAAAAGCTGTACGTGAACACATTAATGTAATAGGAGGCTACAATTTATGGATCCCTCGAAAGAGGCATCACAAAATACCAATTCTGAACTTATCATATTAAAATTAAATCAAAATTAAAATTGYTTTCCTTCAAATGTCTTCACTGTACAGAAATGGCAAAAAGTCTCCGTGAAGCCTACCGTAAAACCCTTTTTTTAACGGGACCTAAATTTTATTACGGTCTTAGAAGACACTATCCCGTATCATAGTATTCATTACTCWACGTTTTTTGAAATATCAGAACATCTTTTATTTGGAGTTCGGAATAGTGTCTGTGTGTGGTGACTGATGTATGTTGCTGGCCTTTCCTTAAAATGATGACGATGACAAATTTATTAGATACTGATAGATCACTTATGATAATGACACTGAGGAAGTTAAAAAACGMWACCACTATTGAAGATAAAATGCCTGGAAAAAGTGCCGTAAAGAATACTTGAAGTAAAATGAAAAAAGCCGGGAGATGATRCTTATGATATAGTAATACATTTTACAAAAACTGTTAAAGCATAAACATATAGTAATCAAGTTATTATGTATGCAGTCCGTACTTCCATCAATGTTAACCCCAATTTCTGGTTTATTTTAGCATATTCATCGRACCCCAGGAATGGCCAGGAAAACACCCTACAGAACCCCAAAATCATGCAGACGAGCACCCCCTGCACCGAGAAATAGAATACTGGGAACACCTGATTACTTGGCTCCAGAGATATTGATGGGCTTGGCTCACAGTGAGTAGAACAGATTTCTTATGTGCTAAAACTAGAACACGGTATCTGCAAAAAACTGCAGAGGATTTGGGGCGCGACAGTGCTATTCCTGACTAGTCGTTTTCTGTTACGTTGATACTAGGCAAAATTGCTTGACTGTGTTGCATGTTCGTGCCGTGACTCGTAACGTTGCACAGTCAAATGACATTTGTTCTATCGTTCAAAAACATATMAACAAGACTTTACTTTTGTGGCGTCATGAAGCTGTTGATAGAATGTTACTGCATTATGAAGCCTCTTGCATAAAAGCATAAAAGCATTCTTTTAATTAACGCTAAGGATTATGGTCGCCAGAGGTGGCCAGAATGACTGCAAGACAAAGGGAAGACGATTAACCGAAAAGAGAATTTTAACTTTTAAAAGAATGACGTAAAAGATTATACTTAAGGACGGAAAATAAGTGATGCATAATCACGTGGCCACTAATKACTTTGAAGTTTAATTTCTGCTCTTTTAAGGGAAACTGTCCCTCTTAAAACATGCTGTGACATCATTATGTGATAGAGTAGTTGATGCATGTTGTTTTGTTTTATAAGCTCCTGCTGTAGACTGGTGGGCTGTCGGCGTTTGTCTCTATGAATTCCTCACAGGTGTTCCACCATTCAACGATGAAACACCAGAGCTGGTTTTCAATCATATCAAGAATAGAGGTATGTNGGTAATAAACGCTACTCGCTTTCCTACGGTTTCTAGTTTTAGCTGGTGCATATTATACGACTTGACATTCTCTGAGGCAATTATTCATGTCGAGGATTGGAATTGTACTGGTTTCTATACAGTAAGTACGCTGGTCGCTTGTGTTACCACATAGATTTTTACACGTTCGATAAGACTTTGTGTGGAAAAAGCTTATTTTCCACAGATTGCGCGCATGAAGATTAAGAATGGTGATGGATTGTGTCAATTTTACAGGCGACATTTAAGCTTTGACCAAGTGCACTGAAAACAAAGAAGAGAATGAAGAGGATTGAAGATGTCAGGACTATAAGATATAACATCGGCATAAAATATTTTTAAATGGTTTTGTTGTTCTCATATTTGATTCTCATTACATTTTTATTAAATTCGTGAAACAAAATTTGAGTACTAAAGTGTGATAGTCAAATAGGTATAATAGAAAACAATGCCATTAGAGCGTACTAAGGTGTATGAGTGTAATATCTATTTCACGGTTTTCTTGACTTCACTCTTGACATTATCGCTTTGTTGTTAGTGTTCCCATTTTAGAATTAAGTCATTAAACCAATGAAACAAAGTGTTACTATTAAAGTGTGATAGTCAAATAGCCACAACAGAAAAAAATTTGGTTGAAGTAGTTGCTGCGATACAGAATTCTATTAGATTCTGATGTTGTCAACAAGTGGGTATAAGTAAACGTTTATAGTTCATGACGAACCATACTCATATTTCAAGACAGCCTTGAAAGTGTTCCAACGAGCAAGCTTACAARAAAACTGAGAAGTAAGTCATAATTTCATAATGCTGGACAGGATTAAACCCAATACATAATTGTTACTGTTACTCAGTATTTTCGGATAACTTGTCGGCGGAAGGGCCGTAGCTAGTAAGAGGCCAACCGAGGCACTCGCCTCGGTAAAATTTTGCCGATGCTTTTTGTTTTTCATCACTAATATCATCTTGAGCCTTTCAGAGCCGATTTCGTACGACTGATTTTGTGCAAAAAAGATATAAATAATATAAATCTTGAACTTATAGCTTCTTTGTTTCATATATATTGCATGATAAATTCCGGTTAAATATGTTCAATAAAGAGTTAACAAAAGGCCCACAAAACGCTGGAAATCGCATTTCCAAGAGACCCCCACTAGTTCCTACCACCTTCGGCGATCGCTTGCCTCGGTCGCACCGTTCACTCTGGCTACAGCCCTG